GCGCCACTGAGCTAAGCTCCGGCCCCTCCCTTCTGTTTTGAGAGGAAAATCACGGGCAGCGCGGGGGAGTGATTCGTGCTTACACTTGCCCAATGCAAGCAGTCGTGTTACCCTGCAGTACTGCAAATCCTTGGAGGAGCGAAAGCTTGGTGACAGTTGTGGCACCAGGCCGACAGAAACACAGATGCCCTGGCTGCCGTGTCAGGAAGGGCCAGCTCGGGCCGGGGCCCTGGGCACAAGGGCCAACGAAAGGAAAGAATCAGAGGAGGAGGAGAGCGTTGGCCTGTGCCTAAGTGTGGCGTCTCAGCCCTCAGCCTTCATGTGACAGGAGGTGCGGGTGCTTGGAGCACTTCCTGACCAGCTAGGGCCAGGGTAAGTGAGGGCAAGTGCCTTTGGCCTCACCCACAGTGGCGTCAGGACAGGGCTCTGGGGCACAGAACACTGGCTCAGCTCTGGCAGGGACAAGGAGAGATCACCCTGGGCAGTCGCAGGACCCGCCCACATGCTGGAGGCTCAGCTGAGCCTGGGGTGTGCACAGGGTCCCACAGTCCCACAGAATGGGGACCCCCTGGGGGACTCTCCGTGAGAGAGGAGCAGCTGCCTCCACTTTGGCTGAGGCTGGCTGGCCCTAGGCCCTTGTACTGCTATGTACAGAGCTGGCTAGGACTTTTCCTTAGCCTTTAACTGGCTCCAAGCAATGCAAATCGGCCCAGCCGAGGTGCTGTGTGGTCCTTGAAGCGGAGGACAGAACAGTGTTTCCCTGCCCCCGTAGCTCCCACGTAAAACATGAGAGCCAGCGTTCCACTGTCTCTGACTTTCCAGGGCTTGAAAGATTGCACACCAGAGCTGAAGCACCAACCCCAAAGCATTAGGTACTTCGTGTCACGCAGACCACTCCTGCAGCCTCCTCTGTGTGGCAGAGGCGACTGCAGGCCTCCTGCCCGGCCCAGCCCGTGGTGCTCCCCTGCTTCCCGCCACTCTCACAGGCACTCATTGTCCAGTTGCTCCTTTTTTTCATAAATGAATAAAGCCTGGGTTTGGCCCCGGGTCGATGCCTTTGTTCTGGATAGTCATCATCATGTCTGGACCTAGGGTCCCCTGGCTCCCCAAAACAGCAGATATGCCCTAGGGTCCTTATTCTCGCTGTGGGTTGCACTGGGCATGGCAGATTGGCACTAACTCCGTAGAATTCCAGGAACTTTTCATGGGCTTCCACGAGGAGGAACACGGAGGGCTCTCTAAACCACAGTCCACTCAGCGTGTATATGGCGGGGTTCCACAGCCCACAGTCCCAGCAGCCACATGCTGGGCCCTCCTGGGCTCTGCCCTCTGTGCCTCTGATCCTTCTCTGCACCCCTCCCTGTTAAGCTGGCCACG